TTACTTTCCTAGCAGTCTCCATTTGCCAGGGTTTTCCCCAGTATCTCAGAAGTAAAAATTCCCACTAGACCGAACCCTTGGAAGGGAACCCAGATTTTCAAACCTGATTTTTAAATAATTCCGTTTGACTGCTTGCACTGTACATTTAAAACACAGACCTTTCAAGAAAATAAACTTCATGAATATTCACTTTCCCTTTCCAGATTCAAGTGCCTCATTGAGCTGTTCTGCACTTCACTTTTAGAAAAACAAATGGAAATTAGTGGATGCATTTTGTCAAGTTAGACAAGTACTTTTTCTTTTTTTTTCTTATTTATTTATTTTTTGCTTAACTTCTTGTCTTCCAATGTTTCTAGTTCTCTTTTTTTCCCTCCTTGTTCTCTCTGGCATTCTTCCTGGAATCAGAGGCAATTTTGAAGTGATTCTAAATTTAGATTTTCATACTTAGCAATGCCAAGTACTATGTTTTTGTACACATGAGGTAGAACAAAAGTCTCCAAAAGTCACCTGTGGAGTAAGCATTATCCATTTAAAACTATAGCATTAGGGCCACATCAATAAAGTCTATTATTGTCTCATTGCCCGTGGAGATTCTGGTGGGTTTTCTGAATGACCTGAACCCAGCCTGGGAGGGGTGATCCTTGCCGTGAGCTGAGACACGTGGTAGTTTCAGGTTATCCTTGTCTGCTCTGTTTCTTGGGTAGTTCCTTCTTCTGCTTCTTCCCACATGTCTACCTGGAAGGAATAAGGTTAAAAAGAACGCCCCAAACAGACTTAAACAATCAGATGATTGGAAATTGTGGCCACCAACCCCTCTAACACTTGTGTCTTATCATGTTTATTCTTGTCTGTGGTCATCCTGTCTGTGGGCTTGGGTGGCTCCATTTATAACTTCAGTCAGATCATGTCACTAAATTTGAATCTAAAACTTATCCTATTTCTTCAAGACTTTCATGCTCTGGTTCCTGGCTTCCTCTGTGATCCATTTTCTTCTAGTCTTCTCTATTCCTGCCCCTTGGGCCTTCTTGCCAGCTCAAACCTGCGAGCATAATCCAGGCAGTGCTTTTGCAGATGTCGTTATCTCAGTTTGAACTCCTTGCTCTATCATTTCTCTCAGGTCTCTGCTGTGATGGTATCTCCTCAAAAAGGCTTTCTCTGGCCATCAATCTAAACTCAGACCTACTTGTCACTCTTTGACTTCTTACTCGAGTCTTTTAAACTCATTTTCCTGTCACCACAGTGAGAAGTACATTTTGTATCATGACCCATATGATGTACATAGAAAATGACAGCAAAAATTTCAGAGAACCTTACCTGTGTTTATTATGGGAGATACATTCTAGTATCTCCTATTCCATAGCATTCTATTTCATTTAATATCAATCCACTCAAATTATTTCATTGAAAACCATGCCAAGCTAAGTTGATTTAACCACTAATGGACTGGTTATGCTATTGTTGTGTTATGAATACTGCCTTACCCTGCTTTAGTTTTTCATGGCAGTTATATTTTGTATCCTTTCTACTGTAGTGTAAGCTCCAGAAGAACACAAAATATGAAGTGTGTATTCATAATGCTGAGGACCATATAAGAGGAACTCAATAAATATTTGTCAAATGATTAAGTATTTGTGGGAAAAAAGGTTTCACTTTAAAATAATTAAGGGAAAAATCTCTATCCCTCCTTAAGATTTATAATACCCACTAGAATATTAAAATCTCCAAGATGTTCTCTAGTTAAGAACCCTGTTGGAGGCCTCCCTGGTGGTGCAGCAGGTTGAGCGCCACGCTGTGGAGCTGTCTGCAGTCTCTGCAGTGCAGGTTTGATTCCCAGCCGGCCAGAGAGATACCCACATGGCACGGCAGACCTCTCTTGTCTCGCCCGCTGCTCCCCTCAGCAGTGCATTTCAGTAGATCTTCCTTTTCTGCTCTTACTCCATCTTTGGTGAATCTTCTCACCCTCCGTCATCTCTGGCCTGTACCCCAGTTCTTGTATAAATAAAAATCTTTTTAAAAAAGAGAAACCTGCTTGGGTTTGTTAATCACAGGATTCACAAATATAACAGATACCTTAGAACTTAACACCTAATAATGTATCCTAGGACTGATACTCAGATTAATGGAACCTTAGAGGAGAAAATTTAGGATGGAAGTTTGAGAAGGTCAAAAACCATACATGGGTGTAAGTATGATTAACAAGTCACTACATTGACTTTGGATATTCCTAGAAACCAGAGGTGAGATCTGAAAGAATTACCTGTTGTTAAAGAAAACTAACTTAACTGACCCCAAAGCAATCAAATTCCATACAGAAATGAATTCTCCCAAAGAACACTACATATGGATAGCCCTTGCTCTGACAAAACACACCTCTTGTCTTAAGACTGTCTGCCTGTGTCTCTGTAGGTGTCTCTTTTTCCTAATAAACCTGTTTCTTTCAAAAGTAGCTTCTTGCCCTTTAAGAATTGCCCATTTGCACCTATGCAAATGTCCTTTTTACCCCCTTTTCTCTTTCCTTAATAAACTTGCTCTTTTTGATTGCAGCCTTTGCCTGCTTGTGTCTGTGCAAACATCTTTTTCCTTAATGCTTGTGTCTGTGCAAACATCTTTTTCCTTAAACTTGCTGAGGCTTAATAAACTTGCTGTTTGCTGCTGAATGAGAAACTGCCAAATTCTTTCTCAGAGGGAACCCAAGAACAGCATTTAGTCATCTACAACAAGATCACAATTCAAAAAAAAAAAAATCCGGGCAAATATACTAATAATGCATGCTGAACGCAGACTGTAGTTGAGACCTGGAGCTGTCACTATCTCCTGAAATGGACACATTAATTGAGTTAGTTGATGGGATCTTGGCATCCAGGGATCTTGAAGGAGGCACTGAGTGGTTTGAGTGGAAGGAGTAGGTTACTTGCATGAATTGGAACTGCAGTGGCTATATTTCAATCTGAAGGAGATATTTAGATATTTTTACAATTGGGATGATTATTCTTGTTGATACCCCTGAATATGAATCCAGCACAAAGAATTACTCTATTTCTTTTATCTTTTAGCTATAGAGTTGGGATTAATGAGATGACTAAACAACCAGGCGAGGGATCAGAAAACCACTATCATTTCTTCCTTCTCGTGGTCTAGAATTGATCAACAGTTATAGAACCTCCTTTAGAAGCAAGAGAAAGAAGTAGGGAGTTATAGGGACACCATTTGATGCATAGAATTTGTGTTTTTTAAGAGAAGGTATTTAGAAGGATCAGGTGTTTGAGTGATGAGAAATTAGGCACTCAGTAAATTTTAGCTGTCATTATTGTTGATATTAATCATTTTTATCACAGTTTGGGAGATTATATGATTTATCTGAGAGGCATGTATATTCACTCCTTTAATTCTGGATGCAGCATCTCAGGTTGTGATTTTTGTTCTTCCCAGTCAATCCTTGTGCCTCTTTCCTTTCTGAAATTCCTCCTTCTCCTCTCACCGGCTTCCTTCTTGCCTCTCCTCAGAGATGTAAATTAAACAAGCGTTTGTTCACTATTCCTTTTTACCCAGTTCTGTAAGTCATGAGATAGTCCTGTACTCCTGTCTCTCTCTTCAGCCTGATGTGACATCTGTCTTAGTTGCTATGTTTCTACAATTGCATGCCATTATAAAAACATGATCTCTCAGATTATGCTTATTCCCAAAAGGATATTTGGGCAGCACTTATAGAGCACAGTAGATATTATTTGTAAATCAGAAGAATGTTTCAACACTCCTGTTCAGCAATTCATCAGTTTATTAAGAAAGATCATATTTGTAAATGTTCCAGAGTAATGACTTATCATCTTTATTCACTTCATTTAATGTGAAATAAAAGGCAGAAAGAGGACCAACCTCCCTTCAAAGGTGACACACTTAATCCTGGAAAGGTGGGTTGCACATTGACTGTATGAATGGAAATATTAGTTCTAGGGTGATCTTAGTGATGGGAGGTGCCTGAAAGTGACTAAAGAAGTGTTGGAAAGTTAATGCCTCAAACAAATGTAAAGGAATGGATCAGTGTTCCAGAACATATGCAAACAGAACAATGTGTGTGTCTCCAGTGGAAAGTGCCTCAGAGGCATCCAGGAATCATTAGGAATTCCTTCTTCCAACCTTAGAGATTGACAGCATACATGGCATCAGTAAGACTTAGAGGCAGACTAAAAACATACAGTTCTAGCTCTTTTCTCCCTCCTCTGTTGATTGATCTCTGTGGGTTTCTCTTTCCTGAGATAAGGATAAGTTAAAAGGGGTAGAGTTTTTCATTAAAAACCCTTGCTTCTCCAGCACCTGGTGTAACTGGCTTTTGATATGGTATGAGTATGAGTTTATTTTTATTTTGCATTCTTCTGCCTGTGCAGCTTTAAAAGAGTTACTTAACCTCTCTATGCTATTTTTTTTTCCTACAGCTGTAAAGGGGTTTGCTGTGATCATTAAATTACAAGAAGGTAAGCTCTGTAACTCAGAATTCTGTGTTCACATCCCAGTTCAGCCACTTGTCAGCAGTGTGTGCTGTTGGCAGTCGTCAAGAGTATCAGTACAATAATGACTGTATTGATATTATGGGGTTGTTGAACAGATAAAATGTAATAATGCATGGAAAGCTTTTAGTCCTGTAACTTTTTCAAATGAGCCCTCAATTAACATCAGCTATTATTAACACAATTTTAAGTGCTCAATTCGTAGTAGGTATACCATAAATCTTAGTTTTCCCACCTCCAAAATACTCTGCAATAGGGGTTGGTTTGTTTATTACTAGCTAATAAAGACTTTTCTTCTGATGTTAATTTTGCAATTTTTCCCTTGAAACTTTGTGACCCTTTTTTCTGTGACTGCCTTATAAGTCAGTCATTTTGGGATAAGGGACCTTTTGTTTCAGATATTCTTGCACAAGAGAGGATGGACCATGACTGATTTTAATAGCAGTTAGAGATAATTGTCACACAGATTTGAGAGGTGTGACAGGAAGGAGCACAGACTGCAGGATCAGAGGAGAGGGACTGAATTCTGGTATAGCCTCCTTTTCCACTTTGTGTCCTTAGGCTAAGTCCCTCCTCCTTCCCCACCTCCTCTAGACCATCCTGGGCTTCCATTTCTTCATCTGGAGAGCTATAATGAAAATAATGACTGTATGAAAGGCTGTTGAAATGAGATCATTGATGTGAAAAGTGCCTGTGTTTTGCAAATGCTAAAGCACCATACAAAGACATTTGGAGACTTAAAATGAAGGAAGTTGTTTCGATTACTTAAAGTTTCCAGGATAGAATGGAAATAAAAGGGGAAATCCATAGCATTGTTTTTTATGAGTTGTACCAACACAACACATATTTTGCTTTTTTAAAATTTTCTCCAGAAAATAGGGCAAAGATCAGAAGGAATTAGGGTTCAAATATGGTTATCTCTGAAAGTGTTTCTATATTTGCTATACTATATTTAAAGACAGAGCATGGGCAGGTATCTGGAATTTAGTGCAATTTCAGTGTCCAGTGAGGTCATAATATGAAACTTGAGGTATACAGAACGGGACTTGAGGAATGACATTTGGTGTGTATTTTTCCCTGTTTTGTGATTATATCATGATTATGGAAAAACAGCTAACTTACCTCTTTGCTTAACATTTCACTTCTTGGGTTGTAGGCATATAAAATTTGTTGTTAATAAGTGGACTTTGTTTGTAGTAGACATTATAATGTTTGCCAACGTATTTTTAGGATGGTATCTCCTGGAAACATGGTAAGATTGCAATTCTAAATTTTCTTGCATTTGCCCATGTGACTCCTTCTGGTCAACAAAATATGAGTAGAAGAGAGGTGTGTTACTTTTGGGCTATAGAATTTTGATTGATGCTTTGCGACCCTCAGAGCTGCATTTTTTTCATAAATTCAGGTGGCACTGGAAATGGTGGTTCTGTTAGTTGGGGTTCTGAAGGCCCAAGAAGAACAGAGTTTCACTCTGATGTCTAGTGCACATCTAGAGTAAGGGGAAACACATTTCTTTAATTATCAGCCACTGGGGTTTAGGATGCCATAACCTTGCTTACCTTGACAGAGAGACACCTAAACCATGATTTGATCTTATCTCTGTCACGTGCTGCATGAACCTGGAAATACTACTTAGTCTTTCCAAACCTCAGTTTGCTTGCCTGTATTGTTTCTCATTGGGAGATTATGATAATACAAAACATGGGGTTGCTGTGAGAATTAAATATTAGCAATGTAGATAAAGTATTTAGGATACAACTTGGCACATAGCAATCATTAAGAAATGTATTTATTTTTACTGTTTTGTTAGAAGCATAGTTTTTGTGTTTGAATGCAGTTTAGAGGCCTTTACGTGAACCCGCTTTGTTTTTCATCACTGATAGAGCATAGTGTTTAGATTTGTTGATCTCTAAAACAAAATCTTGATATGGAGCCCCACGACTCCCTCTGAAATTGCTTGATACACTTTTGCAAATAGAGCTCCTGACTTCCATTGGATTCTCAGTGGAGTTCATCTCCAACCAAAAGTTCAACGTTCTCTATAAGGTCGTGCTGATTTTAAGACTATAATAATTCTAAATGCATTGCTTAAATGACAGTATGTCTATGTGACCCTTCTAGTATCCCTTATTTGAAAAGCAAGAAAAAGCTAATTTGACCTGACCTAATGTATATTGCTTATTTCTTTCCCTGGGTGTAGTTTTTCTGGGTCAGGAGGCATTTCTCCCTTTGAAAACGGCTATATGACTACTGCTGCTGTAGGGCATTCCCTTATGGGCGTCTTCTGGCATGCACTGGGGTGAGGCAGTCAGACTTATAGCACACTGGGAAAATTGGGGCAACAATATCTTGTAGTAAACAGGGAGCAGAAACAGTCACTCTTACAAGAATGGACATCAAAGAGGTTTAGACCATTATGAGAGATCTCAGTGGAGGCTGCATTACTGTGGTTTAGTTCTCGGCTATTATACAACCCAAGGTGGCAAGTAAGACATGAGTATGAAGAGGCATGCTCAGCACTTCTGTAGGAGCACAGATGCAGGCAAGACTAGGAAGACTAACACATGGCACACCCATTCTGGGAAATGGGCTGGAAGGATGGAAGGTGTAGTGAGCTGGAGAGGTACTTGACTATAGGACACATGGGAAAATAGTTTACTCAGAGTTTCTCAGACTGTGTTACACCATGACCTTCGAGCACAGGTGGCCGACAGATAACATGTAGCCTTGAGATGTCGTCTGCATGTGCAGAAAGCAGTAAATAATATGTAACCTTGATGGATAGCTCACATGCATGGACACATTTCTGTAAACTAGGCCTAAACTTAGCCCAGTGCTGGCTTTGTCTGTAAATCATATAAAAGCTAGTAGGGCTCCTCTGGGGGTGGGGGGACCTCTTCTGGCCATTCACTGAGCACAAGGTCACTGCTGTGTCTGGAGACCATGAGGGCTGCCTTTCCTGGACACTGCCCCTGTTGCTACTATTGTATCTCCTGCTGCCTCATAATAGAGTTTTTCCTGTTCCCCACACATGGGCTTCTGACCTGCTTTCTCAACTGCTGCCATCAAGAACTAGGCAATCCTGTAGCCGAGACCCTGCTGTGACACCCCACAGCTCCCCCCATTCCCCCAGAATGACAGCAGGTGAACAGGCATAAAGACCTAACCCTATTGGTTGCTGAATGAAAATTACATACACTTGGGGAGAGCTAGGACTAGTGCAAGATGGAGACCACCACATGCCAGCATTCTCTTAATGAGACTAATCACATTTTTGTTCTATAAATATTTACTAAACATGAGTTATATCCCAGTTGCTTGGGGGCCAAAGGAGGGAACAAAGCTTACCCTCTGTCCTGAAGGAACTCATTCGAGTTGGGGAACAGAAACAAACACATAGAGCTAGCTTGGTTGATAGGGCAGAATTGAATAATTCCAGTATTTATTGGTATCAGATAACATTACCTGATTAGTTTCCAAGAGGGAGGGCACTCTTTTTCTTTGTTTTTAAGCATCTGAAATAACTGTTAAAGCTCTTTCATATTTCCACTAAGCATGTTTTAACAAGCTTGGGGTGTTCTTTATTCTTCCCAGCCGAAGTCATGTTTTTTGGCCTGTACTTAAAGGCTCCGGCTTGCTTTTTAAAATAAAAAAATGAAACAAACAATTATTTTTACTAATTCCTAAGTTCACTAAAGAAAACTAGGAATATCACTGCTTTCTGTAGATGTCTCCACCTTTACTTCCACTTGAAAACATAAGTGATTATGTTTCTGGAATTTCTTTATTTTTAAAGAGTCTCTCATTTATCCCCTTGGGTCATCTTACCTTTGAGAGCAAGAACCCAGGAAATTATACTCCCCCCCCCCCCCCCCCCCCCCCCCGCCCTGGGCATTTTAAAATCAACTCTAAAAGCTAAGCCCCACGCTAATTATCATTCACATTTAAATACTCAATTGGAGTACTCTCATCTCTCTTTATCCTTGTGGAGTGCTTTATGTGTTCTTGAGTTTTGTCATTTTTCTGACATCTGAGGTAGGGTATTCTAATGGAGAAGAACTTGAGACTTAAAATAACTTTATTTCACTGGCTTTATTTCACTGGCTTTATTTCACTGGCATTATTTCGCTGGCAATTGTGTTGTGAATTGCTAGAAGGTAGCAAGGTACCCCCCCACCAATGACCTGCCCCAGTGTTCATCATCTGCATTTATAAATACTTCTGTTTGACACTTTGGAGCATAATGTTTTTGAGAAATGCACACATGTGAGTTCAGCAGTGGATATGAGAAATGAAAAAGGAAAGATTTCTTGCAGTAAGCACGAGTAGCGCCAACTTTGGTGATAGAAGTAAAGCAGGCAAGCTGGCAAGGTCCGTAGCAAGAACTATTATTGCTCAAGTAAACAGGCACATCTAAGTAATTAGTAACACATTCTCATAATTGCTTCCCAAATGGCCAAGGCATTTGGTTTTCTAAAACAGGATTCTGAAAGCTCTGATATATGTGCTCTGTGACATATATTTGCACACATTTTCCTCTTTTCTTGCCTCATCTTTGAACTTCTGTGCACAAAAAATTGATGTACTTACTCTCTTTGTCTCTGTTTTGGGGCATTTGATTTATTGTTTCCTCTCATCTCTTCACCAACCTTGACATGTCTGTGTTCTCAGTTTGGAGTTTTTAATTATCTCTGTCTTTCGGTTTTTGTTGGTCAGACCTCTATCTTTGTATTTCTTCAACAGAGAGCCCTCAGATTTCTACAGAGATGGATGTCATGTCAGGTTCAGTAAAGAACCATTGGAACTTTGTGGGCCTTGAGGTTTGAAATGACTTCGAACCTTTTGGGGATCGATTTTTTTTTTTTGTGACTCACCAGAAGAAGGTTTCTATTTCTAAGGGGAGAAAGCATTTCTTCACAAAAGCTCAAAAGACTGGGACATCAAATGACTCTTACAAAACAACATTTTGATGAGTTAAGTGTAAATGAATCAGAAACATATGGATTGAATTTCCTTTAAAATACACATGGGTTTAAAAATTAAGGGGAAAAGTGCTTGGCAAAATTCTCTTTGGGTTTGGCCAAGTCTGATTCCTTTGAAAACTAGTTCAAGACATGATGCCAATCTCGAAATGATTCTGGGTTCACACATCTCTGGTTCAAAGTATTCCTTCCTTAGAATCCTTAATTCCACAACCCCCTCCCCAATCCCTGTCATTGTTGTCAGGATTGTGTCCCTCAATAATCCTGATCAGATTGCTATCTAAAACAGAAAGTTCATGTAAAATCCTTCCATCCAGGAACTAATGACCAGATCTTTTTGGAGTGCATTGAGTAGGCAGTACATTATGATTCATTTACTTCATTTATTGGATATATATTACTTATTAGACACTTAAATAACAAAGATGAATCAAGTATAGGTCACCCAAGTCAGAAAACCTATAATCATAGGATAAAACAGACATACATTATTATAGAAAGCATTGAGATGAATTGCATGGAATGGAGCCTTGGTGAACTCACTCCAGATGGTTCATCTAGCTCTTTATTTATTATGGCATTTTCATTCTTTCTAGTTCACTTACTCCTAGATTTAATGCTAAGTCTACTTACAGAAATGCAGATACATTAAAGAAGAAATGAAAGGAAAAGACTGTAGCAATGGTAGATAGCCATTGTCGCTATGAGGTTAAAAGAGTAAGGGGGAAATAGAATTAACAGAACCCAGAGAATACTGGAACCATGAAGAGAAGCCATTGTGGAATGCAACTACTGTCAGAGACATAGCAGGAAAATGTAAAGGATAGGGAAAACTGCCAGAGTAGCTGGAATGTAGGCAGTGGTACTGAGTGGTCAAAGGCAGAGTTGGCCAGAAGGGGTAATAGAGTCTAACAGGGTTGGGCTCCTGTGCTAAAAGAGAAATGATTTCTGCCTTTGTGACTGAAGATGATGGCATAGTTAGAACTTGAAGCATCTTAACTGCCCTTTAAAGATGGGTAGGATTTTGATAAGTGAATATGGAGGGGTGCAGTTGGAAACATTTTTGGATGCAAGGTATGACATAAATAGAGTATAAAGCATGTTGGGGAAAGGTAATGTCCATATTTGTAAAATGATTTTTGTTTTAATAGAGAATTTGATTGCATGCAAAGGTAGTTAAAAGTTCTCCAGACTTATAATAAGGAATTGGCTTTAAGATTATGGAGGTTGAAATAATCTGTTGTGTGCAAGCTGGAGACCCAGGAAAGGTGGTGATGTGAATCCAGTTTAAACTTGAAGGCCTGACAAACAGAAGGCCAATTAAGATTGATGTCTCAGTTTAACTAGACAGGGAGAAAAAGATTTCTCTCTCTATTTTTGTTCTACTCAGATCCTCAATGGATTAGATGATAACCACCCAGTTTGAGGAGAGAAGTCTCCCTTACACAGTCTATTGATTCAGATGCTAATCTCTTTTGGTAGCCCCCAAACATGTAGTGATATTTGCCAGAGATCTGGGCACCCCATGGCACAATCAGGTTCACATATAAAATTAGCCAGCAGAGAGATTAAGTTTCATTCACTACACAAAGTGAATTCACTGAAGATTTTGAGCCAAGAGTGTAATAAAATT